ACATCACGGAATCTTTGAATATAATCAGGAACCGATTCATCATTTCTCTGCTTCAATGCTATTAAATCTGTCAACCTCATCTCATGTACTCTAGCAAAGAAATATTTGTGAAACTGCTTTTCTAGATCAGCCCAACCTTGAATAGAGTTAGGTGGCAATGATGCAAACCAAGTGAAGGCCAATCCAGACAAGGACAAAGGAAAGAAATGAATCCTTAACGCTTCCTCACAAGCAGCTTCTCCACATTGTGCAAGAAATCAGCCGATATGCTCAATTGTTGATATATCATCCTATCTAGAAAACTTAGTGAAATCTAGAACTCTCTAATGAGCAGGTAGTGTCACACGATCAAACCATTCTAGATATGGGCGTTGATACATGTAAGACTGTTCTTTAGGCTTCAAGCTGAATTGATTTTGAATCACATCGACTATTTTGTTCACTATATCATCTATATTGGCTCCTGATGGGTGCATATAATCTTTAGAGATTTGCTCAGGGATATAATTATTTCTTGGAGCATTCTAATATCCCTGATATTGAGCATAATTACCACCAAAATTTGAAACAGTGTGATATCCTTGTTGAATTTCATCATTATAAGCATTTTGAACATACGACCTTTGATTTCTAAAATATGTTTCACCATAATCTCTAGCAATGTTTTCCTACAAAGAAATCCATGGACTTGCAAAGTCTAATCTAGCGTCACCACCAATCAGGTCGAATCGATGCAGCGTTGGCAGCAGGGTGATAAATTAGAGTTCTTAAGCCGATAGATCAATTTATAGCAAAAAAGGTATTGACAATACACTATGTAAAACTAGGATTAAGATACAATCAACCGATATAAACGATCTGTCGTCTTAAAAGGGATAAACGTGATGAATAGTAAGATGGTAGATTTATATGATGTGAGCCGATGTACTTTAATCTTAGTTGGATAATTGGTGATTCTATCAAATCTAACAAGAGGTCATAAGATGCAGCCTTACTGGACTAATAGAATCGATAACTTTGGCTAATATCAAATCTAGTAAGAGATCAAATGATGCAGCCTTACAAGATAAAATACGAGCCGATAAGACGGTACTTACAAGCAAACCGGAGATCAAAATTGATGCAGCCCTGCTTATCGAAGAACTCATCGAAAACTATGTTACTCCTACTCCTAATGCAATGGTGTGAAGCCAAAAAAGAGTTGTATTGATCGAGAGATGTTTATTACAATAGCCGGGATTTATATTTATACCCTGGGCCGATACAGAGTCCTAGACGGACATGACTAGGTGAATTCTGAATTTTTGAATAAAAAAAATAATCTAATTTTACTATTAGCACTCCATGATTTCCTTTCTGGTAGAGCCCGATTCCGTCATGTCCAAGCCGATGCCACTGATGTTATAATCTTCACGATTCAGTTCCAAATTCTGGTGTAAACAATTACTGACTTGGGCTGACCCTTTACCAGCATTGAGTTCAAGGCATGGAGCCAGGATTGTGGCATCAGCATCAACTACGCTTCTGTTGCTCATCCGCGGGCCAATGGGCAAGTGGAGAGGGCCAATGGACTACTCTTGCAAGGGCTCAAGCCAAGATTATATGAACCATTGAAGAAGTATGACAGAAAGTGGATGCAGGAATTACCCAAGGTAGTTTGGGGGCTACGTACTTAGCAGAGCAGAGCAACTAGACAGTCACCCTTCTTCTTGGTGTGTGGATCCGAAGCTATCTTACCCGCTGACTTAATCTGGAACTCCCCAAGAGTGGAACATTACAACAAGGGAGAAGAAGATTCTACTCGGCAAATGGAGATCGATACTTTGGAGGAGGCCAGGATTGCTGCTGTCAGTGCAGAAATCTGGTCGCTACGCTGACACCACGACAGACCTGGAAAATATGCTTAACTTCAATGCAGGTCCTGCCGATTTTGGGGGTCGTGGGCCTGCCAATCAATTTGACCCTGCAATTGACAAGGAGACAAGATAATCAGTAGTTTAGAGCAGAACATGTTGGCTGGTGAACCGATAGTCCCACAAAAGCTATCGGCTATAAAGCCGATAGAGTATCAAGTCATCGGCTAGTGACCCGATGATGCCAGCACGTATCTGTATATAAATAAAATAAAGCAATCGTCTAAGGGAGCCGATGGATAGCACAAGCAATCGACTAGAAAAAAACTGATAAGACCGTAGAATGAAATTGATCCTTTATTTTTCTACAAATAAATCCATAAACTAACAAAGTCTAACCTATCGTCACTACCAATCGGGTCATTCGATACAGCGTTGGCAGCAGAGCGATAAATTAGAGTTCATAAGCCAATAGACCTATTTATAGCAAAACAAAGTATGGAAAACATGCTGCGGATGATGAAAGCACAAGTCATCATCTATATAGCCGATGAGGCATACTGTGTGAAGAATCCTCTATTTTCCTAATAAAGAGATCCATAAATTAACAAAGTCTAACCTATCATCACTACCAATCGGGTCATTCGATATAGCGTTGGCAGTAGGGCGATAAATTAAAGTTTGTCAGCCAATGAATTATTTATAGTAAAATAGAGAATTAGAAACACACTATGGTTGACTAGGATTAAGACACGATCGGCTGATAAAACAGAATCTAACATTGAGTTTAGAGATTAACCTGATAATGCAATAAGACGACAATTAGAAAGATAATAGTCGATATGTCTTAATCTAGTCGGATAACCGATTTTACCAAATCTAGCAAGAGATCATAAAATGCAGCCATACTAAATGTAGTAAAAATCGATAACTGACTTATACCAGATCTAGAAAGAGGTCAAACGATGCAGCCTTGCAAGATTACATACAAGTCGATGACGGTACTCACAAGCAAATCACAGATCGAGTCAATGCAGCCCTGTTTACCGAAGAACTCGTTGAGAAGCTACGTTACTCCTACTCCTAAGTTTTTGGCGTGAAGCCGAAAGGTTGTGTGTTTATTTTTATTTTTTTTTTACAATAGCCAGGGTTTATATTTATACCCTGGGCTGAAACAAAGTCCTAACCGAATACGGTCTATACAATGTCGTAGTTTGGAAAATAAAGCTACTCAAATAGATACAACTCTGCGATTTCCTTTTTAACGGAGTCCGTCCTTGACATGTTCTGAGCCGATGGCATCGCCCAGGTGGCTTCCCTGTTTCTCCTCTTGATTTTGGTCTCTTCTAAATAGATTTCTCATTAATTAATCATCTTTCTCCAAGACCGAATATTGCTAATAAATCCTGCCAAATTTTGATGTCAACAACTGCCCTCCTTCACTCGGCTAGATACCTACATGGGCTCCAACGTCATCACGACAAGCACGTGCAGACTCATTGTTTCCACGTTGGAGACTTGGTTCTACGCCGTATCCCAAACACCACAGGGCTACACAAGTTGTCAAGCCCATGGCAAGGTTCCTTCATAGTATCCAGGGTCACCAGACCCGGATCCTATAGACTTACCATGGAGGACGGGCCAGAAGTCCCTAACTCATGGAACATTGAGCATCTGCGGAAGTTCTACTCATAGAAGAGTTCTTAGTCAGAAGCCGACTATTCAAGTCGCACTTGTAACACGGATGTAAATATTGGATATTAATAAAGAATTTTTGTTCCCTTCCAAGTATATTGTTTGTGTCCAAAAACAAAGAAGTAAGAAGAGTAGCATACAGAGGCCATGGCCATGTTTCCTGCTACTCGACACATAGCATAGACTGCCCCTGCCTACTCGGACATATAGCCCAAAAGGTGCTACTTCTTGTCCTTAACGAAGGAGTAACATATAGAGGCATTGTCCCTGATTCCTGTTACTCAGCACACAGCGGAGTCTATCCCTTCCTTCTATAGCATTCAATGGCTTAAGATCATTATTTCCTGCTACCCGGCACACAAGGTGTTGTCACTGGCACTCGAAGGAGTACACAAACAGCAGCCATAGCCGGTTGATTCCTGTCTACTCAGCATAGGAGCCACAGCACATGCCGCAATGAAGTTGCAACACTCAGCCGACATATAACCTATGGCTTACTTCCTGTCTTGAGAGCCAACTCAGATACTCGGAATCGTGCTAAGTCACGATGGTTGTCACGTAAGGGTAAACTACCCTACGGCCGACTAAGTCCCTTGTTCAAGAGAATAATACTAAGGCAAGGATGCCTAAGTACTCTGATCTAAGAGGGCGACAATTATGAAGTAAATACTAAGGCGTGAAGTAACGAACTCACGGCCGACTATGACCTTTGTTCAAGTACCGACTATGAAGACTAAAATCTCACGTCGCTCTGTTCAAGAGGATCTCAACATATATTGTTTAGAAGACAATGGATTTTTCATTAATGAAGACATTGTATTTAATATTACAAGTTGAACTAAGAGTCTAGAACTCAAAGTCATTGATAAAGTCGGTGGCCACATCATCAACTTCTTGCTCTACCCGAGTTAACTCGGCATCGCTATAAGAGGCCAGCGGACCGTCAACTATCTTCCTAAGTACTATACTAGGAAAATATATATGAAGAAGAGTTAAAGCTTAGCGGACGAGGCTCTTTCCCATCTCACGAAGGTACAACAAGACCCATCCGAGTAACTCCTTCAGCACCTCAGAGAGAGGGCGGTCTTCATCCCCCTCTGAGTCGAAGAGGCTTATCACTGGACCCATAGCTTCCTAAATCTCTTTTAGGTCTTGCGACTGTTGTGTGATGGTCATCACCTGCTGGGTGATGGTCATCATTGCCTGCACAAGATCTCTGTCAGCATCTTGGTGGATCCAAGTAGCTCTTTTAAGAAGTTCATCAGCATGTGACTGATGCTTCATTACCTCTTCAAGCTTTGCCGTCGCCCAGTCACGTTGATTCCCCAAGTCGATGTTGTCGGCTTGGAGTTGTCAGACTTTGGCGCTTTCGGCAGAAAAATCATGGCAAAAGAAGTCAGACCACATACTCAGCAGAAAACAGAGCAAAATAGAGTATAAGCATAACTTACCCTAGAACTTGGTGTCGAGCGTTTTGATGCACTTCGCTACCTCTGCTCCATCCAGCAAACTCTGCCTCTCTGCCTTCAGGTCGTCAACCTCGGTGCGGAGGGTAGTAATGGCTCGATCTTTGCAGTGGTCGTTGTCACTCCATACCCGTTCACACTCTTCTTGCTTGGTCCGCAGCTCATTCAGCTGGGTAATCAGTTCTGGTTGAGCCGCCTATGCTCGAGCTATGGCCTTCAATGTCAAGTTTTGCAGAAGAAGTTACTCGGTCATTAAACTGAGTGAACAACTGACAAAAAATAAAGAAGCTGTAAGGGCGTTACCTTGAAGGCAGAGTCAAAACCACTGTGCTTCTTGCATGCCTCCATCCATAACCCAATGGTATGGGCTAGGTCTTGTTCCAGCTCGGCATCAGATGGCTCCAGGGGGCTCTTATTGACTGTGTGGCCACCAATTTCCGCAGGGACTTTGGCTTCCACGGAAGGGCCAGCGGTGGATGCAATCACCACCGGGGGTCGGGCACTCGTCGACACTGCCAACGCTAGTTGGTCCTCGCTAGTAGAGCCACTAGTAGTCGTCACCAGGGCTTCTTGTCCGGCAAGAGGCGAGAGGATGGGATCTTCCACTGCCTTCTTGCTCGGGCTGCCCAGTGTTGTACTCGGCGGAGGCAGCGGGGCTAGGGCCACTTCAGCGACTACTCTAGTAGCGCTGACTTCTTGCGCTACTAGGGGAGCAGCCTCAGTAGTAGCGGTAGTCGGCACAGTCCTATAGACAAGTCAAATGTTAGTCGGAATTAACTACGATGAACACAGGGGATGCAATGGAATACTTACTTTGTCTAGTGCATGGGGATCTTCTTCCTCGTGAACTCGGTCGAGAGGGTAACTTTCGTCTTCACCTCTGATGACTCTGTTGACACAAGTTTAAGACATCAGACAAATGCCCCAAGCATGAAAAGACTTCTCGGTGGAGGGCTAACTCGCTAGAGGTCAAGTACTCGCTGGGGCATCCAATGATGGCATTAATATCTTCGGGGTACTAGCATCCCCAGCACGCGAGCTATGGGGGCACTTGCTGGACTCCTCCTGCGTGGCTTCTCCTTCTTGTCCACTAGCGAGGTCGGACTCTGTTGTTGAAGAGCCAACCCCAAGGGAGATGGACTTTGGCGGGCTGGGGACGACTAGATCTGGCCTCCTCGCTGATTGTGGCCCTGCCACAGCATCAGGAGGAGGAGCCAGGGTCATTGAGTCAAAAAAGTTAACTCCAAGCTCCTACAAGTTATCAACATAAGGAAGAAAGTCAGAAGACTATACTAAAATCTTACAAGTAAAGGATTCAACTATGCAATCACTTACAGCTGATGGCGGGTTTGCCCTGCTGAACTCGGGGAAGATAGGAGGCACGCTCGTGACATCATGAAGGATGCGGATGAGATGGCAGAGGATTTGGTTGTCGGTCAACTCAGCAACAGAAGGCCGAGTAGGGTCCCAAGACTCCCAACTACCATGATACTCAAAACCAAAGGTCTCCCGTAGCTGTAATGGTTGGACTCTGCGTCTCAACTAGCTGGCCACTACAGCTACAGCAGTTAGACCGGACTCTTTTAGAGTACCAATCTGATGATGAAGGGGAGCGAAAAAAGCCTTTTCTTGTTCAGAGCTACCCTATTTCTAGCGTAAGTTGAAAACAGGGGAAAACTTAGAGGTTTCAGGAAGAGAAGGAAGATGGTTCACCATGTAAAACCAGGAAGCCTTCCAGCCTTTGGAGGAGTCTGGAAGGTTATAGTGGAAGTACTCGTCCTTGACACCCACTCTCAGTTGGAACCCGGCCCTGCCAACCACGGTAGGAGCTGTGGAACTAGGTTGGGGCTTGAGATGGAACAAGTACTTAAACAAGGTAAAACAGGGAGGAATTCCGAGAAAGGCTTCACAAAAGTGAATGAAAATGGAAAGATGGGCTATTGAGTTTGGGTTCAAATGATTTAGAGAAATGGTATAGTAATAAAGAAGGGAACGGATGAAGTTCGAAGCTAGAAGACCTAATCTGCGCTCGAAGAAAGAATTAAAGACTACAATCTCTCTAGCAGCGGGTTTAGGGATTCAGTGCAGCTTAGGATTTCTCCATTCGCTGAATACCTGGTTAGGGACCAAGCCTTCCTCGATGAGGTTCAAGAGATTTGCCTTGGTAGTCTTGGGGGCTTCCCACGCCAGGAGTTGATTGGGCGGCAATGTCTACAGCGGCTTCGGGACCTTCTGCTCCTCCTTCTTCACCGCGGCCTGACTGCCGGATTTCTTGTTCCCCATCGTGTGGATGAAAGCCTTGAGCTTCACTCGCATGCAGTGGAGAGGACGAGAGGTCAAGGGCTTGGATGCGTGAAAGTTGGAAAGCAGAGACCACAGGCAGGAAGGCTTGATCGCAAGAACGTTTGGTGATTGATCTTTTACCAAGATCTGCTATTTATAAGGTGAAAACAAACTGCATGAATTCCCACACAAGTTACCATTACTGTCACCAACAGGCATAATTTTTACCATTGGGAGGCTAACGGTTGGATAATTTTAACTGTGTGTTAGGCTGAGAAGTCTTTACATGACCATTACCTACGCGGCGGTTTGTAAGGTGATCAAAATGGATTTATATCAGCAATCATGGTTTTTAAGCCATGGATTAAGCCTTAATTCTAGGAATTAAGCCCAGGGGATCAGTGGACTGAATTTTCTTGACATAATCAAGATGGCAACTAAATTGGAGACTAAGTTACCACTGGTTGGTTAATCAGCTTGCCAAGAGGTGTTTTCTACCACTCAATGATGAGAGGTCTTTTTGACCATTGTCTTGGGGTGGTTAATCAGAAGAATAAACCACTTAAGATAAGAGGTCATTGATCATTATCTTGGGGAGGTTACTCAGCTGCATACCCGAGTATGTCTTAGATCCTATAACCGACTAAATTCTAGTCGGCCTTAGGCTCGAGGGCTATAGGGTACATGTCCTTAGCGGATGTATTGAATTTTTTCTCAAGGAAGCAAGATTTTCCAAAGAACCTCAAGCTTTTTATGCTAAATAGCAAGAGGCTCAGGTGCTACACCCATGGGTGCGATTTGCAAAGAAATCACACCCTTATGGCGGTATTTTTTCAAGTTTTTTCTAAAGTACATCATGGTTTCTCAAGAAGTACTTGGACATCACTTGAAGCTACTCGGCAAGACCTTGAAATTCAAGACAAGTACTCGGCTGCTGCTTGATTTTACTCGGCAAGTACTTGGCAATTCAAGAAGGCTTTGAAGATCAACCATGATGAGCTTGGGGGCTTGATGGACATAGATCCTTAGGATTCCCCAAGAGACCAACTATTCCATAAGGAGATTGGCCGGCCTAAGGAAACCAAGGACACGTGGCACAATGGCATGGAGTCCATGGTTATGAAGATCCTAACCCACTCGGATATGTATGGAAAGCAATCTTTGTAATAGGATTAGTATCTCCAATCGTATCCAGCTAGGACTAGATCGTGCACTTGCTCTCTAGACTATATAAAGGGAGGCAGGGCACCCCATTGTAACATCATAACACATCTCATCTTGTAAGCAATCCGCTATACAAGGAAATTCAACAAAAAACATAGGACGTAGGGTGTTATGCTCTTCAAGTGGCCCAAACCTGTCTAGATCTTGTCTTCATGTTCACCATCGAGGTTCAGAGCTTGCTGAGCTCGTCATTTACTTACGTCGGGATACCTATGGTAAGGTTGCTGGTCATTAGACGTCGACACTTCAGGGGGAGCATTCCTTAAGGGGAGAATATTTTGAGGGGGTTGCATTTTCTGGATCTTCTTTGTCTCTTGTTGTGTGCATGTATCAACAAGGGGGAGAATGTTTGGAGGGATGAGTTTTTCATAGTGTTGCATACACAAGAGGGAGATCATTGCATGAGATTTTCATCAGTTCAAGGGAGTTTGGGCTGTTTTCTGCTAGTTGTGTTGAGCCTTTGCCTCTTCTGGAGGGACTAGTTTTGGTTTTGACAGCTACTGGTTTGATCTTTTACCCTAAGCTTTTGTGTTTTTCTCTCTGTTGTTTTGCTAGTGGCATTGAGCCCGTGCTACCTCTTCTTGAGGCCTAGCTGTGATTTGCTTGGTTGCGTTGAGCCATTGCCCATACCTTTGGGGACGAAGCTTTGCTCATTTCAAATGACTTGGTTTTGGCTTTCATCAGCTTTTGGTCATTTAAGTGAGTATTTATCTTTTTCTTTTGCCATTCCACTCATCTCTGTGTTGGTGTTGACAATGCACTTATCAAGGGGGAGATTATGAACACATGGTTGATAAGTGCCCATGTGTATCGATGTGTGATGAGTGATTGTCAGGAGATGAGGCCTTTGGTTTAGTGTTGACTAACCAAGGTGTGAGTGTGTGGAGTGGGCAACATGTCTCTTGGCTATGTTGGTGTGTAGGTGTTGAGCACAGAGACGGTCAATGGCTATGGTGAAGGTCAAGTAGAGACGTGTCGTGCTGATGGACTAAGAGTGGTGAAGGGCGGATGTGAGGCTTGGACCAAGGGATTGAGCTAGCTAGGGCACTAACCGTAGTGGCTAACACTTGGGAACACCGACGAGCGAGAGTACATGTAGAGCAGATTGTGTTGACCAAGTCAAGACAATGGTTGACCAAGTTAAGCGAAGGCGATGGAGGACTTGGTGATCTGGCGGTCAAGGACGAATGGTGACACGCGTCGGGATCATGGAGGAGGCGTAGTGGATACGCTTCCCCCAAGAGGTTTCCTAGTTTCGGCCTCCAAACCAGGGGCGGACGGTTTGGTGGGTTTGGGCCTCAAAACCAGTGGGCGGAGTTGGTGGCAGCACGTGGCATCATCGGGGAGTTCGCGTCGAGGTGAAGCTATCTCGTGAAGACATCGTGGCCATCGGACTTACGGATCTCTACCTAGACCATTACGCCCCTGGGGTTAAGTGGTTCCAGGAAATATCTAGGGGCAAGTTAGGAATGTGTAATATCCTCCATAAATAAGAGGGGGCTGATCCTAACCAGCCACCTCTTCCATTTGAGTTCATTTTGTATTCTCTAGTTTCTAGTCTAGACTTAGAGAAAATGACCGGGAGAGATCCTTAGTTGATTCCTACACTGTGTTTTGTTTTGTATTTCAAGAACTAGACCTTTGTAATCTTGTTCTCAGATGAAATAGAAGGTGACCTCTTTGCTTCTATGACTTGACTCTGAAATTTTTGTTGTGGTTCTTGTTCTTGGCACCGGCTTCCCTTCTCTTTCGAATTTGCTTGAGAAATCCTTTCCCATTGAGATTAGGGTTGTTTTGATTCTTTGAGAACATGCTAGGACCTCTAGAGATCACATCTACCAAGCCTTTTTGGCTGAAACCCCATGATCATGAGATTCTCAAAGTTTTACCGGTGTTGAGAAAACACTATTCCGGTATTTTGATTTCTTGTTACCCAGAGTTGTGTTATGTTTTTGGATTTCATCTTTTGAGATCTTCTTCTTAACACATCTCTTCACCTCCTTGCAAAATTTCATCCAAAATGGATTCGATTTGAGTGAGTTTTGAATTTTGGGAGAAAGTTTTGGGCTGCTATCTATAGTCTGTGCGGCATTGCCGCGTGGACGAGCAGCACTGCTGCATCGTGGAAATACCATGAGAGAGTGTGGCACCACCGCAGTTGCTGCACCAGCTGTCCTTCGGATCATTCATAAGCTCCAAACTTTTAATTCTTGATTTGATTTCTCCGCTGCACATCTTGAGTGCCCAAAAACATTTCCAAAGTAGCAAATCACCGGTTGGTTTGTGTATTTCATGGCGAGCTCTTTTTTCTTCACCTAGTTGAAGTTACGGAGGCTCGATTTGAGTTTCTCAGAGAACTTTTGTTTTAACACTGCTTTTAGTGTCCTGCTGTGAAGTCCAGCAACCTAGGGTTCATTCAGTCACCTAGTTGACTCGTGGGCATCTCTGATTGTGTTTTTCGCTCTTTTGGGTTTTGAGTGGGAAAGTGGACTAAGTTTTGTGAGAAATTTCAAAGGCTCCCATTCACTCCCCTCTGGTCGCTAATTCCGGTCCTTCAGATGTCTTCCCATTTCCACATTGGTATGTTCAATGGCTTAAGCAATCCTACTGGTATTTGGTGTTTGGCCTTAGTGCGGTTGCAGATGTCGCATCGTGCCACATACCCAGCAATGTATGCTTTTATGTTCTTCCACCAAAAAAGCTTTTTCAAATCTGCATACATCTTGGTACTTCCTGGATGGATGGAGTACTTAGAATCATGTCCTTCAGCTAGGATCTCTTGACATATTACTTCATTAGTGGGTATGCAATTTTCGATCCTTGTACCAAACGGCTCCCTATTCATCCTCTCAAAACTTGGGGTATTTTCCTTCCTTCATGATGTCTTGTATCTCCTGAATCTCTAGGCACTCCTTTTGTGCCTTCCGAATATGGTGTTCTATGTCATACTATACTCGAAACTCATTCAGCTGCCCTTTTGGTATCACCTCCAATCTGAGCTTCTTCATCTCTTGGCATAATTTTGGCGGAATGGTGATTGCCATGAGGTTGTTGTAGTAGCTCTTGTGGCTTAAAGCATCTGCCACTATGTTTGCTTTTCTTGGATGATAGTGGATCTCTAGGTGGTAGTCTTTTATCAATTCTAGCCATCGTCGTTGCCTCATGTGAGGTCCTAAGTGAAAAAAATACTTCAACCTCTTGTGATCAGTGTAGATGTCAAACTTATTCCCAATCAAGTAGTGTCTCCATATCTTAAGGGCGTGTACTATGGCTGTAAACTCTAAGTCCTGAGTTGGGTAGTGTTACTCATGTACCTTCAACTGTCAGGAGGCATAGGCTATGACCTTCCCATTCTGCATTAGGACACATCCAAGTCCTTGACTTGATGCATCACAATAGACCATGAAATCTTGATGGATGTTAGGTAGTGCTAGCACAGGGGTAGTAGTAAGCTTCTCTTTTAGGGTTTAGAAACTTCTCACAATCAAAAGTCCATTCAAACTCGTTGGTATTTTTTAGGGGGTTTGTCAAGGGCTTTGCTATCTTGGAGAAATTCTCAATGAAATAGTGATAATAGCCAGCTAACACAAGGAAACTCCAAATGCCAGTCATATTATGGTGTGCTTCCATTCCTCTATGGCCTCAATCTTGGTTGGGTCAATAGCTGCTCCTTTGGCAGTGAGTACATGTCCTAGGAATGCAACTTTCTCAATCCAGAACTCACACTTGCCGAATTTGGCATACAGTTTGCTATGTCTCAATTTCTCTAGCACTTC